ATATGGTTCAGAATTATTGGCTTATTTTGCAGTTACTTTTCATTGATATCTTAAATATGTGCAGTTACTTTTTATTTTTTGTACACAGATAAAATAAATTCTGTCTGAGTTTCTGGTATGATGAGTTATTATTTACATTCAAACTATTTTCCTCATTTTTGTTATCAACATACAGTATGCATTATTTAAAGAAATTATTCAATTTGTACAGACCCCATGTAATATTAATGGAGGCACTTGGAAAAGCTCAATAAAAAATTGGCATAGATTGTTACACTGATGTAGATACATAAAGCGATTTCTTTCAAGCTTATCAATACTGACATCAGTTAGTCTCAGGAGAACAGAAAGGATAGTACATCCCATATGGTGATAAAGATGAGGAAAATAGTCCAAATGTAAATAAAAAATAACTTTATTTTTTAATTGCAACTTGTACATTTAGTAGTGGTAGTAATTTATTGAGTGGAAATCAGTTTTAGTAATTGGGCTTTACTGACTTGATACTCATTGTTCTGATGTTGTTTCAGCTGGCGAATTTTCTGATTTTCATCAGGTGATAAATCACTGTTCTATGTAAGGGCATGTTTACAAAAAAAAACAGCCAAAGAATTACTGTCCTTCTCAAACTTTACAATGGTGTATTGCTTCAACAATTAGTCTTCTACAATTTATAGGAATATGATTTGTCTTGTCTGAAAACTATTTTTGTTTATTTTCCTTGATTTGTACAATATGGTGATATGGGTTAACCGTTTCTTTTCTCCTGATAAGACAAAATATAAATTATTCATATGTTTATGCCTTTCAAACTTTTAAAACAGTTATTTAATGTTTGCTTTTGGGAGACTTTGAAATAGAATTCTCAGTGTTAAAAATGGTATGGACTGAGTTGTAATCTTTGTAAGTGAAAATTTCATGACAGTAACTTAACATGAATAGTATATGGGTCTTTGATAAATCTACATCTCCCTGCTCCCCAATGAAATCCAAGTGGACTGGAATCATGTTATGTGTCCTGTAACCCATTAAGGTTATAGGCGACTACACGTATTACTGCCATAGCAGCATTGGTGTATCTAGGACAAGATAACCTGATGAAACTCCTCTCTCTTCAGGCGGAATCATAACTTTAAAAAAAAAAATGTTTCATGCCTCATCACTTTTCCTTCCATATTTAAAAAAACCAAAAAGTCAAGTTGTTTGTGACCAAAAATTAAAGCTATAAACAAAAGTGGCCACATGTTCTTAGGAACTTCTGCAGATATAATTTGGTGGTATTAATGTGCCAGCCTGAATTTCAGATTACCATTGTTGATATTAAGGTTACATTACATGAATTTAATCATTTAAAAAAAGCAAACAAAGCAATTTTTTCTTTTATGTTGACAGCATTTTTTTTTTTTTTTTTTTTTGAGAATTGGTATGGCCTTTGACCCTAATGCCTTTCTTCTGAGAGGTGAGCAGAAGGAAGGTTTTTTATTTTTATTGCCATTGATTATATATATAATATATATATATATATATAAAAAAGGAACTATTCTGATGCACATTGTATTTCCATTGCAATTTATGCAAGTTTGCATGTAATCCTATTATTTAAGTAATCCTGTTCCTGTGTAATAAAAATGTACATATATTGTGCTTCAAAAGTCCCACATCATAGGAAAATATTTAAATTATCTGTTGAAATTGTTTGCCTTTTAACTTGTAAGCACTTTTGAATTGGCTTATTATAGGAACTTTAAACTCTTATTACAGAATCAATTCTGATGTCTGCACTTGAATATTATCGCCTCTTTTAAGGCATGAATTATTCTCAGTTGATTTTTGTAGACAACCAATTTTAGATGACCCAAGAGGGTGGAGAAATAAGTAATCAAGAAAAAATTGTTAAATAAAATAAGGAAAATACAGTCTATGGTGCAGGACTTCCGAGACATCTTGTACATATGTGTATTTCTACCATCTCTTCATACCTTCAACACATACACACCCACATATATATTTAAAAGGATTACTGAAAAAAAAATACTTTAGCAACCCATATGCAAAAACAAAGTTTGAAAACCTATCAAACATTTTTTTTTCTCTCTTAATGGATACTTTGGGAGGATTTATTTATTTTTTTTTAATGTGAATAAAAAAACTTTTTATCTCATTTTGACACAGTTGTTTTATAATATATTCTGCCATCGATCAGCAGGGTTTATTGGAGTGAATAGAAAAATAATGTTAAAAAGGCTCCTCTTTCCATTAGAAATTATGGTTGGAGGTTGTAAATTTTTTTTTTTTTTTTTTTAAAGCTTTGTCAGGTGCCAGAGGCAAAAAAAAATTACTTTTTTATATTTGCACATTTTGTGCTTAAATGAAATCCTTCAAAAATAAAACCTTTATTTCTTTTTGCTTGTGCAATGTTCTTACATGCATAATGTTATGGTGGTGGTGACAGTTTGTTAAATTTAGTCCATTGATTTTTATTTACTTGTATATTGTTATAATGTAATCAGGCTGACTGTTGTTACCATTCTGTCTACCTTGTTGGCCATTTGTGGGTCTGATTGTAGCGGATATTCTAGGTGCCCTCTTGTGCATTTTGCTTTCTGTCTTGAATGTGTAAAAAAACAAACAAAACAAAACAAAAAAACCCACAAATTTTGTTGTAATCTGAATTCAGCTATAACATGGATTTTATATATATATATATATATAAATATATATATAATATTCAGTGATTGGGTACAGAAAGTTAATATTTTCAAAATTAAAAAAAGATGTACAGAGGCAGAATTTAATCAGTTTGTGTGATGAGGTTATTGTTTTTGTCAGAAAAAAATTGTAATTCTGAAAGAGAGGATTGTTCATTTTGTTGTTTTAATTGTAATTTTCATTATTTTATATATATACCATTATGGGTTGGTGTGTAAATAAAAAGTGGAAGTGGGGTTAATTTGTTTTCATTTTTCAGAGTATAATTTAAAAATAAAGCTATTCATTTTAACATTTAGCACTTGACATCATTTATAAATATTACTTCCCCCTTTACTGTATATGGATTCCTCCTCAAAATAGTGTTTGATATATTCTGTATATTTGAAATTGCAGTAGCCTGGCTCTCAGTTTCAGTCAAGATTGCTTTAGGTGTTGCCATAGAAGAATATGACTAGACAACCAAGAAATTCAAATTCAAATTGCATTGGCAAGACTAATATTTTGCTTGATAAAAATATTCACCTCCAGCATGCTAAAGGTTAAGCTACTTAGTCACTTTCTGTATCCCCCTCTACAGCCATACATATGTAAGTAGGTGTTTGAGTTTTGATGGAGATCAGGTTACAAAAAAAAAAAAGTATCTATTAAATGAATTTGCTACTGATTACATATACATTTGAAAATTGCTTCATGTTAGGTAGGGCACATCTATTATTACATCTTAATTTCATCATCAGTTAGAGCACCCAATGAATGGATATAAATGAGTGAACATTTTATTGTTGTCATATTTCTCGGAATCTTGTGCCTTGTGAGTGGATATCCTTGTCGGAGTATCATGTTAACCTAACTCCTTAAACCATTAATTGTGAATAAGTTTTATGCAGATTTGACTGTGCCTGTGAACAGTAGGATTGGTCATTGGCTTGAATTATGCCAGTTTGACCGTTCTCTAAAATTGTATGGATGCGTGAGTAGAAGCTCAAACTTGGCCAATAAATTCAGGTCAAATGTAAAGGAAAGAGTTAAAAGGGGAAAAAAAAAAAAAAAAAGCAACTGTCATTATTTATTGAGGATTTTTTTTTCTTTTCTTAATTTATATTTATTTTTTGTTTCTGGATCAATAAAAAAAAAAAAAAAAATATATCCAGGGAAGAAAAAGCTATAAACTGTTTCTTTTTGTTTTTAATTTTGAAAATTGCTCAGTAATTTATCTTGCTGTAATATTTTTTTATTCCCTCTATTGTGTATATTATTTAGATTTAAAAAAAAAAAAAAAAAATTGTAAAGTGGAAAATTGCATAGTGGATTGAATGTTTTATTTTCACTTGCTTGAGTATTTCTCAAAAGAAAACAAAACCCAACTATTATTGATGCTTATTTATGAATGTATCTATAGATATGCAATCTGTTTTCTTACTAACCATGAATTCATTAATTTGCTGCGATGAATAATAACCAATTTTTTTTTTTTTTTTTTTAATGTTTGGAACTCTTGCCATAAAGATAAGAATTATTCAATCTCTTAGTCTTGATGTATTCATGTCTAATGTATTCTTCAAATACAAGTTGCATTATAAAGTACTGAATGAAAACTACACAGTCACTCACACTTCTTATAACATTAGCTGCTGAAAGGAAAAAACAAAAAGAAAAAACAGTTAGCTTCAAGAACCATGGATAATGAATATGAATTCAAGTGCTCCATAAGTGTGATCTTGTGTCAGACATAGAAATATCTATACTTAATTTTATTTATAAGACTGGATATTTATTACATGTTCTTATATTTCTTCCCTTTCTGTGTGCATTTTAAGTATTAAAAAGTTTAATGGCAGAAGCTATGGTGTATAAGAGTTGGTTGTTGAACAAGTATCCTGTTCTTAACCTTTAGCATTCTGCATTTGTTTTCAAGGCCTCTCATTTGCAGTAGCCCTGTTGGTGAATTCAGTCAAGGTCATTCATTGTTATGAGCATGGCTTAACACAACTTTGAAATACAAACTATCATTTGACAATCCATCTTCTGGAATGACAGGATAAACTTTCTGCTCATTGAGTGAAGTTGTCTACAGAGTTAGAAATTTTAATAGAAGAGGTACAAATGCTTCCTAGAGAATGTCTTATTACGTAAATGGTTAATCTGGCAAAATAATGTTTGCATAAATCATCAAAAAACTAATGATAAAACTGTTTAAATTAAAATCTTTAATCTTTTGGACAATATATTTAAAAAAAAAAAAAAAAAAATATAGTCATAGGAAGTATCATATCTATAAGAGCCATTTATCATAATGCTGGTAGATTTGTTCTGTTTTCTTGTTCTACAATGTCTGGTAGAGTCTCTGGTGTTTTCAGTTTGAACACAACGGGGATCTCTTTCAGTTTAGGATTAGTTCTTTGCAAAGCCCGGATCCACATGACAAGAGAATCTTTTGAAGCAGTTCCTGTGATACACATGGCCAGCACTGTACCATCAGATTGCTCATGGATACTGGGAGGTATATAAAGACCTTTTGGTTTCTCCTCTTCAGTAAATACATCCCAGGTGAAGAGCTCTGAGAAGGAAAGGAAAAGAAAAAAGGTAAACTCATAAAATGCTGAGTATGATTGTAATCATTTCAATAATACAACTAAAATTAGCAAAACACAGAATTATGAATTTGTTTATTATATATATATATATATATATAAATAAAGAAAAGAATACTGAACTGCTATGTAATATCAGTCTTGGTGAATGTTGAACAATTTCCCTCTGTCCATAGTATTCTCAGTATCCTTCTGTAGAACATTTCTCTTGCTTCAAGAGAAATGTTCTACAGAAGGATACTGAGAATACTATGGACAGAGCATGGGAACTGAAGTTTTAAGGAAAATGGAAACACAAAGGACACTTAGAATGAGAAGCACAAAGGATACTTAGAATGAGAAGCAGTTGAAATTTCTGACGTAATGAGGAAAGCAAGCTGACTGACATTCACAAGGCATTGAAGGCAAGAAGAAAAAAAAGTGACCAACTTAACAAGATTGTGTAACTGGATAGAAAAACAATTATGGGGAGGGATGGTGAAAAGATGTTTTATTAAGAATTACAAGAAATAGGAAGTTGTGCAGAGCCAAGATTGCTCACATCTAGAAAGGACACGGCCCATAGAAGAGAATTTTGCTTAAAAAAAAAAAATAAAATGCCATAATCTGTATGCAGATATGAAATATGATATTAGAATTTTTTATATGCTTCTATACTTTGGGGACAAACACCAAGCTTATGGCATCATAGTGATCAGTCTAAGGCCAGGTTGAAAAACAAAATATTTTCTTTTACTTAAATCCTACTAAAGTCGTCAAAAATGAAAATGGCTATAAAGTTAGTCCTTTGTGTTTGTGATAGCACTAAATGCTAGTTAGTTTATATTTCCAAACAAGTGTGGACATATAGTAGCATAAATACCTGTTTTGTGGTATATTTTTAGTGTTTTTTTTTTTGGGGGGGTCTGTCAAAACAAAATGGTAGTGCTCAGAAATCCCTTCTTAGTCATTTCCTGTAAATAGCAATTTCCTGTTTTTTCCCAAAATGGGCCAGTACAGCTAGGCAACAATGCTATAAGAATGCAGCGATAAAATGTTAATTATCTGTTTATGCAACCTGTGATATCATTGATAGTATTATTAAAATAAGTGTTGAAACTGATTTACACAATGACACAAAAATTCTGGTGGTATGTGTTAAAAGGAAATGGTTATATACAAATACCAACTACATTTGAACTTGGTATATGTAGGCAAAGTTTCAGCTTTTCTTATCAATGCCCACTGACTTTATTTTACTCCCCCATTTTCCTACTGCTTAGTATTAGTTATTTTTTTTTTTTTTAACAAATCAATCCATCTGGCAATATGAAAAAAAATGATTATTTAGCATTGAAATTTGCAAATGTCATTAAAAATTTTGTTTAAGTATTACATGTGTATAATATATTTTGAAATTCAATAGTCAGGAATTAATGCAAGTGTTACTATGGTGCTATTATACAGGAGGAACAAGTAAAATTTGCAAAATTATTGTGACTGTTAAAACTCACCATACTAGGTTAAAAATGTTAATTGTTGTACATTTCTTTTTAATCGTTTTGTCTCAAGTAAGGCAATTAAGCCACTAAGATGAAGGGGTTTACTGAGTGGAAGAATATAAGAAAAGGAAAAACATTATTCAGGAGTGAGAACAATAAAAGGACAAATTAAGAAGACAGAAAAAACTGTTAGCATAGAACTTACAACTACATCTAGCCATTTCAAGTGTAAAATGATATGACTTTGCTGTTAAATTCATAGTCTAGGTGCTATAGAGGAAAGGTCATCAGAACAATTACCACCAGAGGATTTATATTCAAAATAATTATCATGAGAAGATTGAAAAGGCACAGGGAAGCAGCTATGGTAGAGTGGTGGGAAAGTGACTGAAGTTGACATGCCAGGTGAGGTCGAGACCATTAACATTGCAGATTCTACTTTGGATTTTATCAAGGATCTCTAAATATATAGCAGGGGCACCAGACCAAATGTGGTAGATTCAGATGAGAAAAAATTTCTAGCATGATAGTGAACCAACTTTCCTAGCAGAAGACCTACCAAATGATTCAATATAATCTTTCCACATGTCACCAGAAAATGTTAGCCTGAGAAGGTGGAATGAGTTCCACCACTAGAGATTAGCATCAGCCATAATGATAAAAGTCAGAAAGGGTTCTCTCAGCTGATTAATAAAGAGCAGTTTCATTTTGGAGGTGATAAAATTAACATGCCATTTCTTGCCCCAGTTAATAGATTGAAGTTCTTTTTATTAGGTCAGCTGCCAATTTGATCTTATTGAACTGATCAGACTTACTATGAAGACAGGAGTAAATAATTGTTTCATCAGCACAGATACCGAGTTGAGAAGTGATGACGCAGTAAGGCTGTTGATGAGTAGGTTCAAGCATAGAGCCCTGGTGGATGCAGGCATTAATGCAAAAAGAATGGCTGTTCAAAACAATTTTCATTTTGCAATTTGATAAGAAAGACTGAATCAGTTCAAAAATTCATTCAGAAATACCATAACTTTTCAACTTGTAAAGAAGTCTAGTATGCCAAACCCTGTCAAATGCCTTTGAGATATCCAAAGCAACATTCTTATCTAAAGCTTGATAGACATTTTCAGTAATAATTGTTAATACATCAGTAGTTGACCTAGAGAAGCAAAAGCCATATTGCTTATTTGAAAGAAGACCCTGTGAAGTAAGATGCTTAACCAATTCAGAGTTAATTAGTCTCTAGTACTTTGCCAAAATAAGGTAGAAGACTAATACGCTGATGTAATGATTACATGGTTTGTCTGAGTTCTTAAAGACTAGAACTACACAAAAGGATTTCCAAGACGCAGCAAGGCATTGTAGAATTTAGAGAGAACAGGAGTCAGTTCAGGAGCACATTTCTCATGGACTATTGCAAGGATACCATTAAGTCCACATACGTTGTTGGAATCGAGTTTAGAGATATAGTATACATACAAGTTGTTTATGTAAGCTGTGATATCACAAGTAGGATAGATTAAACAAATATTTCAAAATTTCTGTTTATAATCCTTCAAATAGAAAATATTGACAGTAGGGAAGACTAAAGAATTTCAATTGATGATTGCAGTTGAATCCAGGATATGTGAGCAAAATTTCAGCTTTACTTATCAATGCCCACTGGCTTTACTGCCATGCTATCATTCCCTTATTTAGCATTAGTTAGTCTTTTTGAACAAATGAACAAAACATTTTAAGTATTTATGATAGTAGAAGCAAAATGTTATGATTGGAAATGAAAATCTTTGAATCAGGAATATCGTTGATTAAAATTAGAACAAGATAGATCCAAAGATAGAGTCCTGGGTAGACTTGCAAAAAAGATCTAGAAGAGTAGCCATTCAAGACAACTTTCATTTTGCTATTTGATAAGACTGAATCAGTTTTGTTTGAAAATCTAACACTAAATTTGTTTGACTAAATCTAGCACTTTATCTTAATGCTGTGCACGGAAAAAAATCAAAAAGGGAATTGTTAGTACTCAGGAATTAATGAAAATATTAGAAATAAAATAAGTCTACTAGATATATAATAATTAGATAACTAAAATTAAAGCAAAATTATTTTATGATTTAGACTACTTAACAGTTACTGCAAGATCCTAATAGAAGTTGCAAGAACAAAAGAATGTTTTATTTTAGTTCCATTGGATTCACTACAAGAATGGTAATTACCTTCATCTTCATCTGGTTCTTCTGATTTAGGATATTTTATTTTATCTGGTTCTGCAAAGAGAACAAAATACGTCTGGGAGATTTCCCTTGTCCATACTGTGAAGCCACCTTCGACTGTTAGGGGAGAAGTTGTTGGGTGCAATGCCAGCAAATCCCGTTGAGAAGGACTCTGTGCACTTGCAATAAATGTATTTTCTTGGGATCCTTTTCAGTGTCTTCCGTCTGTCAAAATATTCAGAGAAAACAATAAGTTTTTCCACCTTACTGTATCGTAAAACATTTTCCTGTAGTAAGAAAAGAAGTGGTCAGGAGTGGGGTTGTGGAGTATCTTCTTTGTTATTTCACACAAAACTGCAGGAAAATGAAGAATGCATTTTTATCTAGTGTGAGATGTAGAAAAATGTTTTAGTTTTTAACTGACTGTACATCTCATATTCTAAGCTAAACTCTGGTTTAAGCTTAATTACACTTTATATCCCAGTTGACCTGAAGCATAAGAAGATCAAGTTTTAAGAGGGGGGAAAAAAAAAAAAAGAAGAATTCTATATTAATGTTCACAGTGTTGTGAACAGAGGTGATTTTTAGTAGCATATTGAATAAAACATTAATACTTTTTGAAACATAGCCATTGAACATTCAGTAATAATTTGTCATTTGTCTGAGAAAATTCAAAATTTCAATATCTTTTCCAAAAGGGTAAATTTTTGTTTTTAAATTAAAATTTGAAAGATTCTGGGTGTGAAAAGAAATTACAGTTTATATTTGTTTGCTTATGGAATAATATCAGAATAAAATACTTTTTTCTCTTTTGTTAAAAAAGACTGCTTTTAACTTATCAATTTTATATATATTTTATAATTGAATTGAAATGTTTTAATGTGATTTATTAGAGACATAAAAAAGTAAAAAAAAAAAAAAACCAAAAAAGACCTGGTTTTCAAACTTTTACACATGCTTAATATTTGCTATTATTGAAATTTGAGACTGGCTTCAAATATTGGATGTAGGTATAAATATACTGCATTAATATTTATCAATCAATTTGTAAGAACAAATTTATAGGGAGAGATTGGCATAACAATCTTTTCAAGTAGGGAGTGCTTGTCTATCTTGGAAAATGAGCATTTTAAATTCTGAATTTTTCCTGTGTTTGAACATTAGCTTCTGGTATCCATAGTAAATATGTAATTCAGCCACGAAGCCAGTTAGTTATATTGTATTTACCTAGGTAATAATTTAGAAATCTTCAGAATATTAACAAATAAAGGGAGGTAATTTGGAAAAGAAAAAGTCTAACCCAGTAGACAGAGATTTCATTCTTCAGATCTACGCCCATTCTCCTGAGTGCTATCACAGCCAATTGAGTGGGGTCCACTGGAAGTTGGAGGGAATTGGATAAGGATTAAGATTTTTTCATCTTTGGCATCCAGTACATCATTCGCTGATATTTGCGAAAAACGTGGGTCTTTAAACCAAATACTTCAGACAGCATAATTCCAAAGTTGTTGTCTGGGATCACAGCTGAAATAAACAAATATGTCATATGAAGAATTACACAAAATGGCAAAATATTTTCTTTTTTATAATTCATAACATCCTTCTAATGGTAGAAAAAAAACTCTCTTTAAACTGAGAATTCTTGAAGACTACAGAAATGGATTTTGACAGATTCCTCAGAGAATGACTATTTGGCAAAAGTGTTAATATATGCTTAACAAAAGAGATCAACCAAACTTACACTTTTCAGGAGGTGGATTGGTTGATTTAACAACATGTCAGTCTATTTAATATCAAAATCAGTTTCTCTTTTTTATTGCATTTATTTGGTTTGAGAATAGATACTGGTCACATTTGAATTTATAAGCAATTTAGTTGGTGGCTTTTTTGTTGGGACCTTATTTCTCTGAAGGGGATATAGTCAGCATATTCAAGACCCTACTGACAGGACAATCAGGACATTGGCTTTACTGCTTAGTAAGGTGTTTGTATCCTTTAATCATTTCAAGCAAGGTAATAAAGACACTAGGAAGCAATAGGTTACTGAGTGTTAGAGAATATGAGAAAAACTACTATTGAAGAGAGACGACAATAAAAGAACAAGAATTAAGAAGACAGAAGATTATGATTGACATTGCATTTAAACTTTTGAAGATGAAAGTTGACTTGGAAGCAAGAAGCCGAAAGAGAGTTAGACAAGTGCGAAGTGTGAGAGAAGAAACTGTTAGCATAGAACTTACTGTTAGATCTAGAAATTTATACTCTAAATGATGAGACCTTGCCTCCACTTAAATTTATAAAGTCTAGGTACCATAGTGGAAAATAATATTTATTTTGCAAATACAAAAATGTGGCACAAGGCCAAAAGCAGGGATAGGGGAAGGCTGGTCATCAATTGGTCTTATCTTAAACTTAGCTAGCCACAATTACTTACCATTCTTACTACAGCCACCATAATACTGCAAAGTCTCTATGAAGTCCTAACTAGTTCCCATATGCACAATTTGTCTGGAGGTTGAGATCAGCAATAAAAATAACAACATTTAAAAATGAAACCCCAATGAATATTTATAATGATTACAATTTATAGTGGAAAGTTCATCAGAACAATTACCATGAAAGTTAGTAAAGGCATAGGGAAGCTACATTAGAGTGGTGCAGAAGGGACTGAATCTGAGATGCCAGGTCAGGATCAATAATATTGCAGATTCTTCTTTGGATTTTATCAAGAATCTCTAAATATATTGCAGGAACACCAGACTAGATGTGGCAGCAATATTCAAAGCAAGAATGAATGGTAGACTTATAAATACATAAGATAGATTCTGGCAAGAAAAACTTTCTTGCATGACAGTGAACCAAGTTTCTTAGCTGCAGATTTAGTAATTGGTTCAATATAATCTTTCCACTTAATGTCAGCTGACAACATCAGTCCAAGAAAGCAGGAGGAGTCACTCTCCTGGAGGTTAGCATCAACCATGCTGATGGAAGTTAAAAAGGTTCTCCCAGATGATTAAAAGAGAGCAGTTTCTTTTTTGAGGTGTTAAAATTAACAAGCTATTTCTTGCCACATTTAACATCAAATTGTAGGTAATTTTTGAGATCAGCTGCCAATTTGACCTTATCAAAATGATCAGACTTACTATTAAGACAGGAGTGTATCATCAACATAGTTACCAAGGTGAGAACTGATGTCATCAGGAAGGTCATTTTAGAAAATTATAAACACTGGGGAACACCCGCATTTATGCAAAAAGATCTAGATTAGTGTCTATTCAAGACAACTTTCATTTTGAAATTTGATAAGAAATACTGAATCAATTCAAAAATTTGTCCAGAAATGTCATAACCTTTTGAGATCTCTTTATTTAATCTATAGTTACCTGTCAAAATTGATGGCCGGTTGTCACATTCACAATGTTTCTGAGATAAGGAATTATTATTTACATTGTTTATACAACTTGGACTATAGTTCTCTTCTTGTTTCTTACATTCACATCTCTGAGATGAGGAGTTAATAGCACCTGAACATTGATAAGCAAGTAAAAAAAAAAAAAAAAAAAATTACCATGACTTTCTAAAAACAAACATTTCTAAGATAATTTCATTCATTTTTGAAGAAGTTCTGAAAGTTTCATTAAAATTATTATTTGATTTTTGCAAGAATTTCCAAATTAATATGTTTTTCAACGATAAGAAAAAAACTAATGAATGCTAAATACGTGACGGCTGACGTAACCCCCCCCCCCAAACAAGATTTTTAACCAAAATTTCGAACGTGCTAGAAAGGATTATTAAATTAAAAAATTAAAAATAATAATAAAAAAAATACTTTGGTCTTTCCTCTTAATAATAACAAACATTTTGTTTTTATTAAGTTTGGGGACTTTTTTCACCGTGCTATGCTGTTTTTTCGGCGAATTATTGAACATTTTGATTGCGCGGAAAGAGTGGGGTAAGAAGACACTACTTGGTTTCAGTGAGAAAATGAAAGAAAGAATAGAAGGAAGCTAGGAGCGTTTAATGGCTGTTCAGGGAAATGGAAAAAAGTTGTCAATTTCAAATATTTTCATTTGTACCCACTTAACGATCAGCATTCATAATTTATGATTTGTTATTGCAATATTTTGTTGGCGTTCTTGCTCAAATATTTAAAAATGTGACAGTGGAATTTCTACGGATATTTTATTGTTGTAGAACTCGTCATGAGTTTATTAAATCATTTAACTTAAGAATTAAGATTATTCATCAGAAAATTAAAATATGAAAACTGTGAAATTTTCACGGGTCTTTTTAGTTTATAAATTAATCTAAAAAACTAATCAGTTAAAGGGAGGTAACCCCCCAAAATTTGTTTATTTTTAAATTAACTTACGCTATGAGATTATATCTTAGTTCATTAAAATTCTTAATTTTTTTCAAGATGAAATGTCCTATATATCATAACTGACCAGTTACTCGTATAAAAAACGCTGATAGCTCAAAATGAACAAAAAAAGGTCAAAGTGAATTATTTTTATTTGCACTTTGAGGTGCAAAAAATAAGTTTTAGAACTATTTGACCACTTGTAAATAATAGTTTTGTTTCAATAGATTTGTTTTTAAACTTTATCATTACCTTAAAAAAATTATATATTTTGTTAAGTCCAAGGACCATAGTTCATTCTGTTCTTGATCTGACACAGAATTACTCTTACCCTCCCTGCACAATACACACTGCACTTTATATAAGTGGATATATAAAAATGTGTGTCTGCATGTATAGTCAAAGATCAATGAAGAGCATAAGACCATTTCGGTTCAGGGAAGTGTAGTATTGTATGTAAAAGAGATACTGTTATAAAAGCAGAATGCCACAGCAAATGCCAATTGAGCTCCTATCTGTTGACCTGACAACATCTATTCTAGAGCTTACTCTATCTTATGTCTTCGTCGATAGGATCCCTAACCATATTGGATGAACTGCAGCATGTAGAAATGTGGATTAAGATGTTTCATAGCATTGGCTAGGGTAAAGAAACTGAAAGAAAAGACAGCCTCTGGAGGGAAGGATTAAATTAGTGATTTATTTTTAGCTTCAGCTGGATGTGAAGCCATAAAGAAAATATCCATCATGGTGTACCCCAAAATATTGGAAGACTTAACATGATAAAATTTCAATCAATTATAAAAAGAAACATGCAACCCCAAAAAAAGCTGGTTATTGCAGAGAGAACAAAATTTCTGGAAAATAGACAGAACCCAAATGACATGGTATATTGGCAACACTTGGAACAAGTTCTGCTTTTGTTGGACTAACAGCTTTTCCCTTTGATACTTCCTCTTACTGACCCACTGCTTATCTCAACATCCTGAGGTGTGGCTGGCAACATAAACAGTATTGGAACTATATGAGGGACAGTTTATCTTCCACCAAGGACAAACCAAAATAGGCTCTTCTGATTTCAAGCATAACTTAATATAGACCAAGTGGGTATGTTCCATGTTTGGTTTTGTTGTCACTTGGTCTCAAAAAGCCCCATCCACTCATTTTATTCTTCTGTTCCCCTTCATTTAAAGTGGGTGTTTCTTTGAAAATTTCAAAGAACTCATTCACTAATAAAACAAAAGATCAAGATAAAATTACATCTTCCTCTTCTAGGGATGTCTCAATCGCTGTGTCACAAAACCTAATATTGAGCACATGTATATAATGAGAACATAGATGAGTGTAATAAAATAGGAGATGTTGACATCAAGCAAGTACAGAAGATTGAATATCTGGGAAGCATTTTAACAGAGAATGAACAATGTGACTGAAATCTGAACACATATTGGACGAGCAAAAAGTGGATTCAAAATCTAAGCAAAGTGCTGAGAAACAGAAAATTTTTGTTAGAAACAAAGAAAAGAGCATTGGATTTTTATGTGATATCCATCCTCTTATATGACAGTGAATGTTGGATAATCTTTCCACAGATGAGGAGAAAACTGGAAGCAGTCGAAATGTGGTTCTACAGAAGGATACTGAGAATTCCATGGACAGGTGAGTAAGCAATGAGGAAGTCTTAAAGAAAAAGGCAACAGAAAAGGAACATTTATGTTCAGAATCAGGAAGAGAGACAGCTGTAATTCCTTGGACACATAATGAGGAAGGAGTAATTGGAAAAACTTATCTTCACAGGGCATATTGAGGACATGAGAGAGAGGGGAAGGCAGTGGGCCACTTACATAATGAGCCTATGTCAATGGATTTGCAGAACAGGGGTAAGAGCCTTAGCAAAAAGTAGAAACACTGCTAAGAGCCACAACTGATAGGAAGTTTGGAGATCCATGATTGC